GTCGTGGTCGTGGTCGTGGTCGTGGTCGTGGTCGTGGTCGTGGTCGTTGTGGTTGTTGTTGTTGTTGGTAGAGACAAAAACAGCTGCCCAACATAGTTGTGACATGTTGCAAGTCAGGGATTTCACAGGGACACTGTTAAGGATAGGGTCGAAGGTTTGGAGAGACGTTAGTAGCTACACTTCTTGTCGTTGTGGTGCTCAAGTCTTGGTTGGTTTGCTTCTTGTTTTTTTATGTTTTTGGAGTGTTGTTCTGGGGGGGGGGTCAAAAAGCAACAACGGGGCTGCAGATTTTGTGTCTAGGGGGGGTAGATGAGACAACAACATCTTTTGAGGGGGGGTCCGAAAAAAACAACAACGGGGCGGCAGCTTTTGTCTCTAGGATGTGGTAAAGGTTCTAAGTAGAAGTTTTACAGAGGCTTAGCTGGCTGGACTACTACTACTACTACTACTACTACTACTACTACTACTATCCCTATTACTAGGCTACTCCCACTTCTACTTCTACTACTGCTACTGCTACTACTACTACTGCTCCTCCTCCTGCTGCTGCTAGTAGTACTACTTGTATTACTACTACTGCTGCTGCTACTACTACTACTACTCCTACTACCACTGCAACAACGACTACTACTAGTGCTAGTACCACTGTAACGGCAGTTTTTGTGTTTACCTTGTTGTTGTTGTTGTTGTGGTTGTGGTTGTGGTTGTTGTTGTTGTTGTTTGAACGGTCCACACCCTAGCTCATCCCCTTAGCTGCAGGGCTTGCGGTAGTGGGCCGCCTGTCCGCCGGTCCGTATTACACCCGGGTCGGACACATGAGGCATGCGTCATAGCCACTAGACAAGACCGGTCCGCACCTCCTAACCACGCGGAAAAGACTAGGAACCAACGTGCGGACTGCCCGGGCGTGGAAACGCGCATCGCGGAGCGATGCGTCAGGTCACCAGCAAGGAAAAGCTACAAGCGGTGATTGATGGAGTCAAAAACCAAGGCCTGGAGCTCGCAAAAACGCAAGACTCCACTCGAAGTGGCTGGCTGAAACTGGATCCCTTTTTTAGGGTTGTTTGGAGCACATGTTTGGACGGATGCGGTTTTTGCCCAAATGCTACCAAATCTGTCTTCAAACAAACATTGTTTGTTGTGTTCTTTCGTGGGTTTCAATCATGTTCAATCATTGCCCAGTTGTTTGCTTCATGGTTTCATGTGCGGAGCGTGGTACCAGGTAGCGACGTTCTGGTGTTGGCTACATTAGTTGCTGGGCGCTGAGAAACCATCCATGCTGTCTTGTGACATGCCGCAGACATCCCTCACGCCCGTCCGATGTTCGTTCGAGCTGCCGCATCGCTTGGCCGCTTGGCGTCAGGATTCAACGATGGCTGGATGGGCGGAGATCTTAGCCGATCTGAGCCCAATCACACGTGGCTCCAGGAGTCCGCACGTGCCCCCCGTTCAACGGTCAAGAGGGATTCAGCAAACACATATATAGTAAAGTATATAGTAATGAAGACTACTAAACTTATTAAACATTGTAAATGGTTGGCATGATATGACTATCTACGGGCTATCTAAATCATTCTATGTTTGGCCGTCCTCTGAGGGCCACCATTGTTCTCCTGCTGTTCCCTATGGTTTCATATGGCTTCTATGGTCATAAGCAGGCATGAACAGGCTATGTTATGTGTCCCGTCTTGGATTTTTGTCATGCGTTAGGACTGGTAGCGTCCTTCCTCCTACTAAAAATGCTCTTTATTACTAGTAGTTTCTTGTTACTAGTAGCAAGGCCAGGAGCTACTAGTAGCGTCCTTGCTCCTAGTTACAGGTTGCAACTCTTGATTTGCAAGTGCAGAATCGACACCCGAGGCCAAATCGTTTTGCGCGGACTGCAACATGCACTATGTGGAGGTGTTCCATCTTGTTTCTGCATCGCTTTGAGCAGGGTACCGGTGGACCATACTCCAAAGCGGGCAGGTGACACATCACAAATTCATGATTTAAGGCATTTCAAAACCCTTTGGTGCTCTGCTTTTGAGAGGCTCCTTCTCCATCCGTTCTCCAAAACTGGCTTTCGGTTGGACGAAAAAGCCTCCCACCGAGCTCGGTCTCTCGATGCCGGGGGCTAGGTGATGGGGCCGCTCTTGGACCGCTTCGGCGGCTTTCTGGAGGAGACCTCGCAGGGCAAGCCCGGCGCGAGCCACTCGGTGGCGGAGAAGGTGGCATAGGCGGCTCGCGTTCGGGAGGCCTTTGAGCATGAAAAAAAGGACATGAAGAATAGGCTACCTAGGGTGAGAACCACCGAAAAGAGGTGCGGGCGCACTGGGGCTGTGGTAGCTGCATGACATGAAGAAACTGAATCTCCTATGTGTTCATAATTACTTATTCCATAGGATCATAGGAATAACCCATGAATTGACGGCCCCAGAGCTCCAGTTCAAAGATCCTGGACTCGACGATATCGGACGGCATGTCTCAGCTAAACCCGTTCATGCGGTTGCTGGTTGTTGAGCTCAATCGGGTGCTGTTTGAGACGTTTATTGAGTGGAAAATGTTGGAACTGTCTCAATGTACTCGGGGAGGATTAATATCCAGAAGGAAGGCCCAAATAGTTCACTTGCAGCTCCACTGCTGAGGCATCAGCGAACGTTCCATCAAGCGGATTCTGAACAAAGACTTCTTTGGGCCTGGAGACCTAGACAGCAAAGACAGAACTCTGGAACTGAGCTGAACAAAGAGATTTATTCTCGTCCGAAACTTCCTTTCCGGGTCTCATCATATTGGTTTCGGGAGTCTGGGGTTCATCACCTGTCTTCAAGGAACCTTGTGGGCTAATTTCCTTGGATCAGACAACAGAAAATTGGTAGAAGCAACTAAGCCAACTATAAAAATTGCAATCCTTTCTTTGTTTCATTGCACGCGAGCAGGACCTACTCAAGCTGGAAAGAAAAATACGTTGTTTTGGCCGATGGAGAGAAAAGCGCTAGCTGGCCAGACCTATTGGTTTCTGCCTTGGAGTTGTGCAACAGGATGGTAGAGGCCATGAAGTACCTCCAGCGGCACATCGGAGGGCTCAACTCACAGGCCCTGCGGATGTTCGGAAGGAAGGACCCATGAGGAAGTGACTTTAGTGGGAAGGACCCTACCAACATCTACCAACCCATACCATGACGGGTCGAATGAAGGATTGTCTCAGAAAGAAAAAGGCTGAACCATGTTCATTATGAACCATTTTCAATATCATTAACAATTGTTTGATGAAGGTTGCCAATTGTTTGATATCTTCACTCTTGAGAAGTCTGAACCCGATGTGGAAGAAGATTGATGTCCAAGAGGAAGACCACTGCATTAGAGGCTGCAGCGATTTGTGGCGGGGGATTCTTGACAACATTTGTGATGCTAGTCTAGCGATAAGATGATCACTGACTTCTTGGGCTCTGAAGGTCTACAAGGAGAACAGGAGATTTTAATTTGTCGCTTTGACTGGAATGGGAGTCAAGCATTGATATGTTGGCTTTGAATGGCTTTCAGCATTGAATAGAATAGAGGTTTTGAAGGCCCCTGCCAGTAGCAGTTACCCCTCTTAAGAAGCAGCATAGTCTGCGAGGGATGTCGTCAATTTGCAAAAGATTCGGCTGCCTGAGTGAAAATGATTTGCCAGGACTGGGACGAAGCAGACATCATTTTGGTAGGCTGCAGGGGGCAGATGTGTTTGGGAAGTGTTTACTCTAGCCTTCATGTGGAGCTTCTCATATGAGTATCATTTGTCCAACCATGGACGGAGATTTGAGCGATGGCATGGTTGACTTGTCAATCAAAAAGGAATAGGTCCATGTCAATGTCTTGACTGCTGCAGGTCCTTCCCGTTGTGGCAAGGGTCGCAGTCTCAGTTTGAGCCTCTTAGAGCTGCCATGGCAGATGTGGAAGATGCGTGTTTAATCTCGATGTGTCAAGGTGATGAAGCCATGGGCACTTCGAAGGTTTCTTGTAAGTGCGAAAAGGAAAATATACGTTAAAGGAAAGTTCAAAACAAGCGTTTAAAAGGTCTAAAGAAAGTGAAAGTGAAATATATAGAACTGGACCAAGCAGTAGCATGTCGTGTTGGCCGTTCCGACATAAGACTGAAAGAGGCAGTGCAGGTAGAGTTGCCAAGCACTTGGGTTCAACCTCTCCTCCACATTGGATACAGAGCATTGGCGGGAAGTCTGAGACTCTGCGACAGCAGATTTTTTTTGAGTATATACTCAAAAGGTTCAATTCCTACAAGCTGTTCTGTTCAGACAAAGAAAGTAGTTCTTCCGGTGTTCCCTTTGCAAGACTGCCCAATATGTATCTAGGCCTAAACCAGAAATGGTAACTACCTGGACTATTTCAATCTATTTACTGTACCACATCCAATCCCCTCATCTCAGCTCATGCAACATCTACCTTGGACCTCTGAGGTCCTGTGGCCCATCAACTGGCTATGCGCGGGCTCAAGGCACAAACCGTGGGCCTTTGGCATGTGCGCTTATTGTTTTTAAGATACATACAAAATGCTAAATTACAAAAAGTGGCGGGATCTGGCTGCCTCGCCACGAGGCCCTTTCAACGGTGTTTTTGAAGCTACTATGCTGGACTTTTGTTATTGGCCTTTATTCAGAGTCCAGAAAGCTGGGAGACAGATCAAGCTCCTATCATTGTCTTGAGAAGGGTGACTTGACGAATTTGATCACGTGCTTTGTCCTGCAGTCCTTCCATGTGTGCCTCCGGTCCTTTGTGTGATCTTCAGCCCCTGAATGCAAGTCCGGCTTATAACGAAGATCAACGGTCACAAAAAACGGCGACAGACAGGAAAAGACTGACTTTCGGCGCATGGCAAAGAGTGTTTACAGGGTCAATATTTGAAGCCAAGTGATGCTGGCATGCTGCCATTCCAACCTAGTGTTTTCATTGTGGGCGACCTAGCAATCAATCTGGTACCTTGACCCGACCGTGACGTCTTGAGCATCTTGACCTGACCTCAAAGACGCGTGTACTTTCCAGTTCTCGCTGTTGGCCATAGGGAGTCATGCTTCATCAAAGACTGCGAAAGATCGCGAAGTTCACATGATTTGGTACAAGCTATCGATGTCTTGGGACATGAGCCTTGTTTTGAGATCCTTTTGCTCAGCTGTCCATGCGGCTGGGCGCTTTGCTGACCTTGGGCGTGACATGGCCATTGCTCTTCGCCACCCCCAAGCTCGGGCTCGTGAAGCGGGCGGTGGAGTCTGGAGGTGGCGAGCAGTCGGTTGGGCTCCAAAGTGTTCTTCCAAGGATTCTGGAGAACCAGGAATCCCTAGTAGCTTCTTGTTCCGTTCGTAGCGATGCCAGGAGCTCCTAGCAGCATCCTCTTGCTCCGTTCGTAGTAAGGCCAGGAGCCCCGAACGTAGCTTCTTGTTCCTAGTAGTCTTCGGCAACTTTCGATTCAGAAGAGGTCCCACCCAACGTTCGTTTGCATGCCGATCATGGATGTCGCTACTGGCCTGGTTGAGAAGAGGTCAGGTCCCGGCGGAGGCAGGTAGTTGGAACATGTTACACTGGGCTGGTGATCCCCAAAATGAACCATATGCGTTGGTCGATTTCACACTTCTCGTTTGCCTCAGACTGAAAGGTTTAGGGGAGCCTTTGTTCAACAAAGCCACGTGCTATCACAACGCGAGTACTCCTCATTTCGCCGCAGATGTGGAAATCCTCCGCCCCTTGCCGCGAGAAGCTCGGCAATCCAGCTGTCATAATGATGTTGCGGGCACAGAGGAGTTTGTTGGTGGATGTTGGAGAGTTTGCGGTGATTAAGAGCTTTGCTACTAATTGGGACATGAGGCACATTCCTCCTATGTCGATGTGATTCAGAAGACAGACCGCAACCAGGTACTGTGATGGGTGTGTATTAGAATAGGGAGACCGGGAGACCACCCCAAAGACCTTTGAGAACATCAAGAACCAGCAAAATCCATTGGTTGGGAGGTCTCCCTATTTAAATACAAATCCATAAAGGCTTCCATAGGACCTTCATGGGCCGTGAAGAAAGATCTTGAATCTAGAATACACCAGTCCATTTGTTGCCAAATTGAGTCTTGTTTGGATTCCCAGATGAAAAGGTCAAAAGAAGACTCCAAGCCTTTCGGAATCCCTAAGGACCTCCTGCTGCAGCTCCGGCAGGAGCTGCGGCACGAGCGGCGCTTCACGCTGGCAGACCGAGTCTTGGAGCTGCTGAGGCCGCAATTGGAAGCGGAAGAGTTGTGGGTGGAAGACGGCCAGGAGAAGAGTCTCCGACATGCGTGGGGGAAGACATGCGGAAGACATGCGCAACTGGCACGGACACCCTCTCTCTCTCTCTATCTCTCTCTTTTTTGTGGACGCGCGCAGAAAGGGGGTGGAAACATATGGAAACTAAGAAAGGACACGTCTGTTGATAGCGAAGGGATTATTAAGAATGCTCGGTGACTGAGCAGCAAGTCTAAGTCCTAATAGACCAACAGCAACAATTGTAGGTAGCAACAAAAATCCCCAGAACGAGCCGCGTACCAAAGCCTTTCTACATCACTACCGCACGAAAAGTCTTTGTCGCTCTCTCACCTGAGCAGGATGCAGTTTGCATCATTCTGCATGTGTTGGTACTTTTAGGTCCCTGGCCTGAAAATTGACAGATTTTTCTCTGGATGGTTGGTTGGAGCTTGAGCATGGATTCTTGGCCTTTCAACATGATCAAAGATCGAGAATGGTGGAACCAAGTATTTGCTTGCAAAAGTCGTGTCATAGGCTACAGAGAATCCATGCTCAGAGGCTCCTTGAGACTGAGATCCTTACCCTTTTCGTGCACAAGAGCTACGCAACAAAATGCGAACTGTTCAGCGATTCGGGAGGGGCCACTCAAGCCGCTCTGAATCGCTCGCAGGACGGGCGCACCCGCCTGGTGCCGCACCCGCGTGCGCGGAAGGCCGCTGACGCGCATGGTGCCTCAGCCAGCAAGGCTGCACGGCAAAGCGCACAGGAGGCGCTGCAGCGCTCGTTATGGGCAGACACGGAGGAGGACGTGCGCGCAAATGGGTTCAAATCAAGTTCAACACTTCAAAAAGCTCCAATTCAAATTGGAGTTTGGTTGGCAAACTGGGCACGAAAGGTTTTGGGCACAACTGGCGGAGATGTGAGGGTCATTCAGGGCAAAGAGCCTGGGCAAAGCCTCGTGACTTTAGCATATTTTAGCTGCCACGCAGGACGCGCGAGCAGCTGGCTTGGACGCCAGTATGGGTGTGCGCGGCCACTTGAAGGAGCTGCCCTCGTGGGATGAAGCATTGAAGGGAAGGCCTAAGGGTAGCTGCACACCATCCTGTTCATCAAAGGTTTGGAGAATGTTGGAAAAACATATGTAGAGAATTGTAGAGAGCATCAAAGAGGGTCAAATGATGTTACGTTGCTTGGAAGGTTTGAACGTATGGGACAGCTATGAGAAGCTGTGCAAAGTGAATTGCATGAACACATTCTTCATTCATATCGCTTTGGCCCACAATCATCGAAGCAGCGGTCGACAATTGGTCAGCCAAAGTATAATTAGGCAGCCGAAGTCAGTGAGATCAGATTGATAGAGGTGGTCTTGCAAGTAAACATGTAGGGGCAAACGACGCTACTAGGGCCCCTGCCATCGCTACTAGGAGCAAGGACGCTACTAGGGGCTCCTGGCCATACTACTAGGAACAAGAAGCTACTAGAGGCTGAACATGGCCGATGTATGGTGATGGATGGGCAATCAAGTTGTTGACGGCCAGGAGGAACCTGAGGTCCTGTCAGGTTCATGGCTATCCTAGCAACGCATTTGACCTGTGAGACTTAATGTTTCAATTGTACAGCAGTTTGATTTCCGCTGATACTCGTACCTGGAAGGCAGGCAGCAGATCTGGCCTTGTCCTTGTCATTGGCGGGCTCTGAGGATTTGCAGCTCTTTGATGCTGGCCTACAGAAGAGGGACTTGGGTCTTTAAGCTCTAAATTAGTCTTGAGTCGTGGGATCAACATCCTAAGACAATGCGAGCACGTCCGAAGCTCCGAGATGATATCGTCGAACATCGATAGTGATTCATGAGATGGACCACATCGTACAGAATGTGGTGCATCTCAAAGATCCCTCATCACAGTGGACATCTCAGCGATATCCATCAAAATGCTGCAATGTCCAGGAATCATCAAAGGTCCTTTTATCAGACATCCTGCGCACCTTGCAGCAGCATCACAGTCGGTGGTGTATGTGTCCAATGACCGTTTCCAACAAACGCCTGCTCAATCAAACCTTGCGCAGCAAAGAAAACGCACAGTTTGGGAAGCCGCCAGTGTCACGGCGCGGGATATTGGGGTGCGGATCATTGGCACAGGCGTTCCACGCACAACCTGGGTGGCAATCTTCTTGATGTCAAACTGAATAGCCAGCAGATCTGAACATAACTGAGCCCGGGCGAACATAGCTGAGATGTATATGATGTACTCGGTGGAAGTGCCTTGACATGCTGAAGGACTTGACTTGTCCATGTTCAGGCAAGAAGAGTCTCAGTAAAGCATCGAAGCCAAGCCTGTCCAAGAACGGAAGCTGCGTGGAGGCAGAGCTTCATTATTTGGCCACTTCTCTTTCCAGAGCCCCACTTGAAGCGCTTTGATGGGGAGATTGTGGGGACCGGTTACCGGTGAAGCTGCAGGTGTCAGTCGCGCAGCCAAGTCCCAGTTGAAAAAGACAAGCATGAAAGTGCCCACAAGCACCCAGTCTTGCTGAGGAAGACCTAGCCTCCATCTCCGAACGCGAGCTTCGTTCCCGGACCTGGCGATCCTTGGTGAGTGTGCAACAGATGATCGAGCGCTTGGCAACAGCAGGATATCGACAGCCACTTGCTGAGTGTTGGCCAAAGTATTGAAATCCGTGGCTGATGTTGGGATATGCACCGAAAGTATCCGAAAGTCTTTTCCGTTCATAACGCCCTTGTGATGAGTTTTGCGCGGAGAGCAGCTTTGTGGACTTTGTGGAACGATTTGGAGGGATGACCAAAGAAGACATTCGGAGGATGACCAATATCTTGCACTCCATGTTACACGGAAGGACCACGGTTTCGGATGAAGATCTCGAGACATTGTCGGACAAGATGTCGGACAAGATCCATGTTTCCCTCGTGCTATCCAGACCTTGTCATCCAGAATCCAAGGCTATTACATAGGTTGGAGGCCATCGCTATTTGTGTAATTGAAAAAGAATAAGATGCCTTTTATATAATCCAAGGCAAGACTTCCCTGGACTCTTTGAAGCCGCTTTGTCCACCCTCGAGAGCTTGGGCCACTTGGCGCCTGCACAAGTGAATCAAATTCACACGACTTCAGAATGAAGGGCTCGCACGCGTTGATTGACTTTTTCAAACCTTTGTTTTTTTTGTTCTGTCTAATCTTTGTGATTATATTTGTGTGCGTGCTTTTAGAACATTCAATTAGATTCAATTGGTATACATAAAACCCATTTTTTTTGTCAGCTACTTTTGGGTATCCAAGACCATCCACACCCAGGTTGTCGGCCCTCCTCTAACCTGCGTGACCTGCGTGCGGGGAACTTCTCGCTACACTCGCCACGGCCCTTGGTGTGGCTCTACCGGCACGCCACGCGCCAGGGCAGGCGCTGTATTCCCCCAGCATCCTCCAAAGTTCATGAGGAGCTGGCAAGGCCGAGAGTTGAGAGAAACCTGGAGTCTTTGATGGCCATTGTGGCTTCTCAACATGTTATGTCCTTAACGGCATAATGTACAGGACGCTACTAGTAACAAGGGCATCGCTACTAGGAACAAGAAGCCACTAGGGGCTCCTGGCCTTACCCTTACTACTAGGAGCGATCGGACGCTAGCTACTATCGTTGGTGATGTATCGTGCAAAGTTGGTCAGAGTTTCAGTCCAAGAGCAGCGAACAAACGGTTGTCGTGAGTCATGGCCTGTGAGGTTGAACAACAGGTGCCCCCTGGTGCTCGATTTGGGCTGCGGCTTTGGAGCGGCTGCTTTGGGACTTGCAGATGAATTCGCAGTGCTGGGCGTTGATGCCTCGGCACACTGCATTGGATATGCCAAGGCAGAGTGCTCCGGATCGTTGTTGACTCTTATGTCACTTACGCATTCAGGTCACCTTGAAGGTATTCAATCATCTTCAAACATGTTCAAACTATCTTTGGAATGACCAAGCTGGAATTCTGCAAGGCCCTTGCACAGCGGTGGCAGCTGGCAAAAAAAGTGAGCTTCGTGCAGTGCGCAGCAGAGGAGGCCTTGGCAGCTGCGAAGGACTTTGGAGGCAAGCAGATGAGTTGCAAAGCAAGCAAAAATTTAATGAAGGTGAACGAATGGGTGTTTGAATTGCTACAGGTGTCCTAAAGGAAAACTGTATTCTACATGGAACATGGTGGAACGCAGGTGCGGGAATGTGTGGAGTTTGAGACGCGGCTGGGGTAGAAGAGTCTTCCCATGGAAGGGTAGAGCACATATCCCAGACTTCAGAACTAAATTATTTAGACTAAATTCTGACCGATATCAGATAGGTATATCATGGTATATCAGACTTATCAGATATCTGATATATCTATGTCAGACAGTCTGATAGATATATGTCCGGCACAATAATCCCTTTAGGGGTAATCCCTTTCGTCGGCGGATTCTTCGAGGTGAGATGGAGTGGATCTTGATCAGCTTCCCCACGCCCTTTGCCGCACCAGCGGACAGCAGCCTGACATGCTTAGTCAAGGGTGTTTGTTTGCTAAAGAGAATGAACTGAATGAACAACAACAAGTTGTTCTACCCTTCGACTCACTAACATCAGAGTGGACAATGGCCCCTGAGAAGAGGATGTTCGCAGACTGTCGCTTTTCTTCCACCTCCATATGGCGAGTCGGAGTGTAGTGCCCCAGGGCCCATTCTTGGTGTTTGCATCAGGAGGTTCCCTGCTTTTGTTTCTCAAATTGGTTGCAAAATGTCGCATCTCCATCCCTCTCCCAAACTAAGTTTAGTAGGAAGTTGTAGGTTGAAAAAATGGCTTCTCTCTTCCTGGTGTTGGCTATCGTGGGGGGGAACGTTTAATGTACAGAAACCAGCTTGATTCGTGTTTGACATCAATGACCCAGGTCGCCTTTGTATGGAGACGTTCACCAGCGGCAACAGTCGCCTGGCCTGCTCGGCCTGACCTGAAGCGATGATCACCAGCTTGCTTGCACAGGCAACGGAAGGTCGCCACACGCTTACTTACTTGGGGCTTGTGCACCACATGAATAGATACAATTGAAGACATTAAGATTCATCTTTATGGAGCTCTTTCACACGAAGCAGCGGACTTTGAGCAATCCACGGATAAAGTACATTGAGCAACGACCAAGACCCCCATGAAGCATTCGCAGAGACGTTACATCATGTACGATAGATGCGAAAGGTAAAGAAATGCAAAAAAAGCGCTGAAATCAGAACATCCCTTATTTGTCTCACAACTGCGAGAGCGAATCCTGCCTTTGCGGCCTTGCGTCCTCAAATACTGCTGGAGTTACTCCCCTCTCCACCCCGAAGGATGGAAACCGAATCTACAAGTATGTTGTCAACCAATGTTCAGGTAAGAAACATCCAAAAGGGTGTGTACACAAATCTTTGTGTAAGAGGGGGTTGGAAATCATGAGCGGACCATGTGAAGCGATATGGTGAACAAGCAAAGCGATACCCAAACAGGTCCACCTCGATCGTTTGATTCAAACTTTGTTGTTGCTTTTGTTCCTTTACATAAAGCGATGCCTAAGCCATACCCAAAATTATCATGCACAGACTGTGGAGGATGCCTGAGATGTAGAGCTCTAGAAAAAGAATCTTTGGGGCATTGGCACTTACTCAGGTCATTTGCCAGAGCATGTGGACTCTGCCGAATTTATGGCCAATGTCAAGATGCTCGAAGAAGCAAGGCAGTGCTTGCTGACGCACGGTGGTGACGGGAAGCTTTTGGCCCCTGGGCGCAGTGACTTAAGCATACGGAAGTCGCCGCCAGTTGTGTGGTGTCGCTCCTAAATTGAATGCAACGCCAATCAAACCCATTTGTTTTAGTCAGTTTGGCTGGCGTGAAAGCTGAAACTTACCTGTCCCTGAGGGCACAATGACTGCTAGTTGAACTATATGTTTCTAATTATTGTTTCTAATAGCTTATTGTTTCTAATTATAATTCTTGTCTCTACTAGCTTCTTGTTACTACTAGTAAGGCACTTGTTACTAGAAGCGATGCACTTGTTCCTAGTAGCTTATTGAAAATCATCAGGAATTGGTGCCTCTCAGGAATTCGGCTCAAGCCGCGTTTGGTTGGATAATGACAACCGGTGTTTGTGGCCGAGATTCAGAGCAACGTGGAGGACATGGCCGTGACGTTGAGGGGGCTGGCTGAAGCCAACGGCTGGGAAGCTGTCACGGATGGATCTCTTGGTCCTGAAGTACACCATGTTCAGGACCACAGACCGGCCGAGACGATGGACTGAGGAAGACAAATCAAGAATGCCCCCCCCCCCTTGTGGGTTTGCTGAACCGTACGATCAAATCTACTGAGAATAGAGAATCCCCTGGCTTTTGGGAGAAGGACGTGCCAAGTTGGGGGCTTGAAGAAGAACCCCAATGTATATGGTAAAACGCGTTCCAAACATGTTCAATGGGACTCCCTTCCCTACTTGGACAACATGCAACTTGCAAATGCAGGTTGAGAAGGTAGGAACACGGAGCACGCATTCCTCCAACCACGGAGAGGTGGAAACTGTGTTTTGAAGATTTCTGGAAGCTTTAATTGAATTTCAATTCTAATTCTATGTATTTATTGTTTCATTTTGTTTCTAATATCGATGCCCTTGCTCCTAGTAGTACGGCCAGGAGCCCCGAACGTAGCGTCCTTGCTCCTAGTCATTCAGCCTGTCCAGCCCTGTTTGATCTAAAGCTCCAAATCGTATTCCCTTTTCCAAATTCTGATTGTCTTGGGAAGTTCGAAGCTCTTGCTGTCTCCTAGGCTCAAAAAAAAGGTCCTGCAGATCTCATGATTCGAGCCCACTCTTCTTCCATGAACGCGTTGTTCGCTCCTCTGAGTCCTCTGCATGAAAATTGAGCAAAGGAGATCCTGTTTTGCACGTTGACACATGCACATGGACCCATGTTCCTGATCTTGCTTGTTCTTCCATGATCACGTTCGTCTTCCGTAAAGTGCTTTTGTGTTCCACACCAGAAGAAATACCAACATAACAAATGTTTGATCTCACACAAGCACGACGAATGTTTGAATCCGAACTACAACACACTTCAACAATTAAATGTGTTGTTGCTATCACAGGAATACACACCAAACATGACTGCCAGTTCCTCAAGAGGTCCTTCAAGTGGTGCTATCCCCAATGTCAGTCGACGTCTCATGAAATCCTGTGTGCTCAAACATTTTGTGAACAAGTCGGCAACGTTCTGAAAACCTGGTCGGTGCCTCAAGATGACTTCACCTGTCTCAAGTTTTGACCTCAACCATAGGAGTCGAATCTCCATGTGTCTTGAACGTTTAGGTATGTCCATCCCTCGCAGCAGCTGAATTGCGGATGCAGAAACAGTCTCAAGGACTATCGGTATGTTCTCTTCCTGGCTCCAGGCTCCGGAGTGGCAATCACGGCGCCAGAAGCAGTGGCAGCGCCACTCGGGACATCGTGCAGCCGGCGCTGGCTGGTTGCTCGATACAGACTGGAAGGATGATGAGAAAGTGGTCAATTGGAAAGAAACAGCATGGAACACCCTTTGCATGCCTTTGCTGTTACAAGACGAAAAGATGGAATATGTCACGTAAAAACATTCCAAGTGGTGGCGGCTCCTGTCTTTGGAGTGTTACCGCCATGCAGAGGGCTTGAATCAAGATCCTAGACAGCAGGTCGATTTGGGGAAGTAGATGGTATTGATCGAAGAAGTCACACACTACACTGGAATGACTAATGATGCAACCCCTTTCAACTTGCCACGTGCTGCAGAGCAGGTAACTAGGATATTGCGGGTTGTGCGACTTGGCAATGATTCATGTTTTCAGAACCACGCATGCTCTAGGTATCTCTAGGTCTCGCCAAGATTCTATAGGATTTGCATGACAGTATATACCTAGAGCATGTTCATCCATATTGCTTTGTGCACCAGCCTCATCAACCGTCAATGCGAGGTTGAAGTCTTCCCCACTGCCGAGGCAGGTGGGTGTTTTTTTTTTTTCTGGCCCCCTGTGGACATGCTGGGACCTCACATGTGTACATGTCCGGTGCTTTTGGAAGACGTTTCAATGGTTTTGCCTTGCAAAACTACCTAGTCCTCCACATACCCATTCGTTTGTCCATGTGGAAAGGAGCCTTATCATGATTTTTAGAAGGTAGCGCCTTTCAAGAAACCTTTGCATCCCAACATGTTGGCTTGACATACATATCATATTATTACATTGGCTTGTCATAGAGAGACGGTGTCAAAAGCGTCCAATCGCTACAACGATGCTCAGGCTTGCGAGGACCGAGACAGAGGCTCACTACATTGCAGAGTCCTTGCCAATCCACCGCTTTGCCTTGCGTCCAGCGCAGAGGAAAACAAAAGCGGAAAGCTGACTTGCTTGGCTTGGGAAAGCAAAAGCACTTGATGTGTGGAAGATGATATGGTCAAGGTTCCAAATGGTTCAATATAGTCCATTGTGCCAGAGCTTACTGGATTTTCCTGGCGGTGGTATCGTGAATCATAAAGAAGCATTTCAAAGAAGAACCTCTCTCACCCCTGGGTATGTCTCAACAAACGAAGCCCCTACATTACAGACCTTTGGAAAGAAGAGGGTGAGAGTGCAATTGAAAAGAGGCGGATGGAAAACAAAACGATCGGTTGAAAGTTGGGTGTTTGTCAAACAAAAGACCCCCGTCGAGGCGTATCTGTTTGGGTCAGAAACTGCCATCAAAAGATCCCAAAACCATCCAATCGGATGAGTGAATGCCCCAAGGACTGCATCCTTTGCTCCCACCGCGGTTGGAATTCCCCGCCCTTCCGAGCTCTGAATGTCCGGTTTTGGACCGTCGATCCTCCAAGCGAAGTTCCGTCGTTCGCCGCTTCGTCGAGGCCGCGGCGTTGAATATTTCGCCGTACGACACTTTGCCACCGGAGCTCTTCACCGTGGAGCCACACAAGGCGGCAAGGGCAGCGGAGTCTCAGCAGAGTCCAAGATTTATATAGGTGGAAGGAACATGGGAAGGAAGGGTCCAAAGTACAACAAGCTCTGAAGTCCTTGCCAATACTTCCATCACAACTCTGAGCGTGCTAGAGCACAGTTTATGATGTTCATGCTTTCCAAGGCTGAGTCAAAGCCAATCAATACTAGTGATGGACACAACCTAAATAATAGCAATGGCCTCCAACCTACTAGCGATGGCCTCCAACCTAGAAGCGATGGCCTCCAACCTGGGGGCGCTGGCCTCCAACCTAATAGCAATGGCCTCCAACCTGTAAGCGATGGCCTCCAACCTGGCAGCGATGGCCTCCAACCTAATAGCAATGGCCTCCATCCTGGAAGCGATGGCCTCCAACCTAGTAGCGATGGCCTCTAACCTGGAAGCGATGGCCTCCAACCTAGAAGCGATGGCCTCCAACCTAATAGCAATGGCCTCCAACCTGGAAGCGATGGCCTCCCACCTAGGACCTAGTAGCGATGGCCTCTAACCTGGAAGCGATGGCCTCCAACCTGGAAGCGATGGCCTCCAACCTGGAAGCGATGCCTGGCAGCGATGGTCTCCAACCTAATAGCGATGGCCTCTAACCTGAAGCGATGCCTGGCAGGGATGGTCTCCAACCTGGAAGCGATGGCCTCCAAGCTAGTAGCGATGGCCTCCAACCTGGAAGCGATGGTCTCCAACCTACTACTATGAGGGCCGTTATAACTTGTGGTACTTATACCTGCAGTTGTGTCAGTTATACCTGCAGTTAAGTTGAACTTACTCGGGGTACTTACGCAGAACGTAGAAGTGCCGCGCATGTGCCGCGTAGTTTCACTGTTTTGTTGCGTTTTTGTATGTTTAAGACACCGTGACGCATGCTCTCGAGCGGTCTTTTTTCGACTAATGCAGGCAACACACGTCGGATCCTATGAAACACCACCAAGCAGCAAGCGTCACGTCGATTTCTGGCTGTGGCTTCCACCACTTCTTCAGGCCTGATGTCTTCCATCGACTACCCCATGGGTAGTCTCTGATTTTCTCCATAGTCTGCAAGTGCAGATACAGCCCGCACGCAGGGCCACAAACCGCCTTGATGAATTGGCCGGCTACATTGTCAGTGAGCACGACCATGTCGCCCGCGGTAATCTTTCTCTTCCACATGAAGACGCTGTCTGCGCAGAGAAGTCCCTTGTCCCTGAAAGAGAGCTTTTCTTCCTTCGTGGCCTCTTTATCGGGTTTCCCCAGACCCCACTCGCCCATGCCATATCTCTGACTGGCCTCGGCGTTGCGCAGAACCAAACGAGTAAGCATGGATCTCTGCAAGCGGAGGGAGTCGCCGCAGCAACCTTCCAAGCAATCAACGAGACCATGTTTGATTTCTTGGTGCTTCTTTTCTTGAATGGCGCAGTGCGGCAAGAACCGCAACTGCTCGCAAGCGCTGGGAATGTGAAATCTGTGGTGATGCTTGGGCCGCACGAGGTCGTCGCCCCAAGCTCTCCGGAACAGCTCCTGGCGTTGGCTTTGAAGGCGTCTCAGCTTCTCAACCTGTTTGGAATCAAGCGGTGTGATCACATAAGACAGCCGTCGGAGCTCTGAGCAGATCTGCTTCAAAACAAGAAATGAGTCTCTGGCTGCAGCGTCTGCAGATAAGTCGTCTGTGGCAACGTAATATCCAAGTAAAAAGACAAGGCTCCAGCAATCGTTTCCGTCGCCTTTGAAGTTGAAGTAGTGTTGGGTGTCCCACAGTTTCTCGTGAAAGAGAGACCTGAGGGTGCCCGCCCTGAAGCGAGCACCCTCTCCACTGCGTCTCCAGCCAGCTGTCTGAGCCGCACTCCAGACGGCTGTCAAATTGACCCCGCGTTGCTCGTAGACGCGCAGCACGCAGCCGAGCTCCCACGAGGCAACTCCGTTGCAAAAGTAGTCATGCAGTACCTCGTTGCACGCACGGCTAGGAGGTAGGTGCTGCCGACCGACGCGGCAAGAGGTGACGGCGCTGGGAACCCAGCGGAAACCCAAGGCTTTCTCGTGCAAATCTCTTTCTGCTGCTGTCATGCCGACCATGGAATCCAAGCAAGCAAAGGTATCCGCACCTTTGTCCCAGTCCCGCGGACATCCGCGGACGTTCCGCGGACGTCGCCCAAAAACCCTAAACGTACATGACATGAACGCGACATAGTGCTGCCTGACTCTCCTTTTTCTTCGCCGCGACTGTGTGCGTTCTGTGTCCGTCAGAACGTGAAAACGAAGCTGTTGTCTCCTGTTCTGCGTGCGTGGATGCGACCTTTGTCAGTCGCACCCTTGTGGCCGCCGGCCTTCTCTTTCGTCTTCTCGGTCTTAGCGATCGACTTGACGCTCTTGACGTTCTTCTCATCCGTCTTGCTCGAAGAAACCTTCTTGTGTGTTTTCTCTTTGTCCTGAGAGAAATGTTCATCACGGGTCTTCTGAGTGACTCGGGCCCCGCCTCCGTCCGCAGACGGCCGCATGCCCATCCAGTGAGATCCCAAGACGGACTCCGGGTAAAACGCCCAGAATCTATCCTGGCTGGGCGCGTATCCCCACTGTCCCCACTGCGCTGGACTTTGCCAAGTCTGGCGCGCCTGATCCATGCGTGGGCGCGTCTGTTCGGGTCCGCGCTGCCGCGCTTGAGCCTGGCTGTGTGCGTGGCTGCGGGGTCGTATATGTGTATATGTGCGCGCGCAATAGACATCCACCTGAAGTCTGTATATACAAAATATATCAGTGTCAGACGAATCTCGAAGACTTTTTCGACCTCTGCGCCGTCGCAGATATCTTCTTACATATATATATAGCGTCCGCTCAGGCGCGGCCTCAACTAAAGGTGAGCATGATGGAGCGCGCCCCCATCCGCGTGACCTTCAGGCCACGGCCAGGGTTTGCGTCCGCGGACGACGTCGAGGGATCCCGGCGGCGAGCGCGCGTCCTGTCACGTGCGCGCGGACTCGGCGTGGGGCGCCTCTTCTTCTGTTTCTTCTGGTCCGGCTTCTTCTCTAGCTTCTGCCCAGGCTTCTCGTTCTTCTCTGTCTTCTTCTTGTCCTCTTTCGGTTCTATTTTCTCGGGCCCTTTGATCTTTTCAGTCTTCTCGATGTCTCCCTCGAGGGCCGCTGCTGCGTTCTGCAGCGGAGCCGGCGCATGACTAGGTCCCGCAGCCCGAGCAGGCGCGCTCGCGGCACGGGCGGGACAGCTCGCCGCGCGCGCTGCTGGCTTTTCGTCCTTCTTGTCCCCGCTTCGCTCAAGCGCGTCGTAGTCCTGCCAGTTCAGCCAATCGCGCCACTGTAAGCAGGTCGGGTCTGTGTTCTCGTGTCGCCGGAGGGTCTCTGCGTTCCCCCGGAAGGTCTGCCAACAGGTGGGGCATTGGATGTCTTCGGAAGAGATCTCGCTGCTGCGCGGCTTCGGTTTGGCTTTCACCTTTGTGAAAGCATCATTCCTTCCTCCATCCGGCCTCGGTTTGGCCTTTGCGTGGGCTACAGGCGCCGTCATCTTCACGCTCTCTGACTCGGAGTTGGTCTGGTTAGCCGTCCAGTCCGCCTCCTCTCTGCACGGCGAGCCTCCTCCGCCGTTCGGCATGGCTGTCGGTGGAGGCGAGGTCGGGTGGGTCGCGCCGGTCTATTTGCAGCTTGGGGCCTCTGACTGCAGCCGCGCATCAGAAAACAATTCAGCAGCAAGCACACGACAGCTATATACACACATCTATTATTATATGTATCAAGAAACAAAATCCACACAGGCGTGGCGTTCTTTGTCCAGGGTTCTCTATACATCGAGCGAAGGTGGTCGGATATATAAGTTGCCCGGCGTCTCCACGCGTCGTCTCGTGGCCGCGTGGCGGAGTCCCCAGACAGCCGATCGCGCGCGAGCGCGGGAACGCAGAGTCCCCCGGTCTCATGTCTGCTGACGGCGCGCACAGAACTCGTGGCTCTACATGCGCGGGTTGGCTCGTGCGCGGGAATTGCGCAGTGTCCCTGTGGAAACTCGCAGTTCCCTGCTGCGCGCCCTCCGAGGAAACACGCAGTCTCCTGCATATATCCTCTGCGCACGCGCTGCGCCGGCGCATACGCAGTTGCGCGGGGTGACCTGTCTCTTCTACACTGGGAACACGCAGTTCCCGGCTCCAGAGAACACGAAGTCCTGCTAA